TAAGTGAAGAAAGTGTAGATAATATCAAAGACCGTGTCCCTTAAGAATTCGTTTCTACGCTTATTGTTAAGGGGGTATTCTGGTAATCGACTTTTTTTGGGACTTTTTTCTAAGGAAACCATGATACATTTTGGTACGCAGTTTTCACATACAGATTTATTCATACTTAAAGCGTATCTACAATTTTTTTTTTTTAACGAAATTAATGAAAGTTGTGGAAATTATACAGCCTTAAGTAAAGCATATTTTTAAAAACGGGTTCGAATGGCTGACGTGATTCCGGTCCACCTGGTTGTTTGAAACTAAAAAACCAGAATGCATCTTAATTAGTATAAATATGGCTGTCGTATGAACCACGGAGACAGCGAAATTTCGAAAATTAAAAAAATGGCAGCATTTTGAAGTTTAAGTATCGATTTTCCTTGTACTTTTTGTCTTTTGGGTGGTAAAAAAAAATAGAAAAAAACATCAGATTTTGAAATTCATGGTTCATGCGATAAAGGTACATCCGGTGAAGATCTCCTCCAAATTTCAAGTCAATCGGTCAACTGAAACATGAGATATCAGCCAGTTCAAAAAGTATGGATCTGAGAAAAACACATTTGAAGTTCTTGTTGCCCGTTGTACAAAAATATTCATACTTACGAGCAATCGAGCAATACAAAAAATAAAATATTATAAAATAATAACAATATAAAAATATTATAATATTATAAAATAAAATATTTTTTGTGAAAAGCACGTTTGAAGTTCTTGTTACTCGTTGCACAAAGATATTCATACTTACGTACACCGATTTAAACATCTGTAACTTTGCTAATTTTACAAATTCAAACAAATCCTTGTACATGGACATTTTCAAAAGCATGTACTTTGAGAAAATGTAAAAAAAAAAATTGAGTTTTTTAAACTGAATTACCAGAATACCCTCTCAATTGCATAAGTTGAAAGTACGTTCCTGGAAAATGATTTCTGCGATTGACGTAACATTAAACAACCCAAAAAAAAAAAAAAAAAGTATGATTTCGTTCTTAGTACGGAAGTGCAGCTTAGCTTGAACAATTATTCAAACGTCAGATGCTGAAGTAAATTGATGCAATTCTGCCTGAAATAACTGTCTCGAAAGACGGTCAAAGATCGCGGGTGCCATTGTTTTCTCTCTGCGAATTGTACGTAAATTACGGTATGGCGTGACCGATCGCATTCATCGGTGCTTTTCCTGTTTAACCGCCGCGATATCATCGTGGATATCGCGTTGTTTTCAAACATATCGCGATATCCTTTTGCGAGCAAACACTCTCCATTAAAAAAAAAAAAACAGTGAATGTCAATTGGGTGTTTTTATCGACTCTTATGAGATGCTTATCCATATATCTCGTTTTAATTAAACTTTACTCTGGGACTTTATTAATCGCACGCTCTAAATATGCATTCGAAACGTTCTGCACTCGAACAGCGTTCGTTGAAATTTTACGTCAACTTAAGAGAAATGTGAAATTTCATCATATATATATATGTATATATCCGGGAAAGTTTGTTTCTTTTCGCTCAGTTCCTTAAGTGGGAATGTCCACGTCATCTGCCAACATCCGGAAATACGCGTTCTAGAAAACCGTTTACGTTCGAGCGTAAAACGTAGTAAAATGTCTAATAGACAATGTCAAAAATCACCTGTGCAACCAAGTTGCTCGACTCGTGCACGAATGCCAAACCGACGAGCTGGTCGTTTCGTAGAACCTTCCTGAAGCGATCTTTTCTAGCTGAGAGCTGGCTTGTATGTTAATCGAAATATTAGCAAACAATACGAGTGCGTAGGTAATAACCAAATATTTGTCTGTACGTCCTGAAAGTTAATTTTATTCGCCTGTCTGTCTGTCTCTGGCAATGATTTTTCATTTTTTTTTTTCCTTTTTTTTTGCTAAATCGAATAATTTTCTTTGTGCGATGAATTATGACATGCAAGTGATTCACGCAAGAGTTCCTTCGCTTTCTTTGCTCCTCGAGAAATCAGACAGACGTAATTTTACAGCGAACATAAACGAATCTACCACGAACCATGCTTGTTCTGAAATAACGCCGTTTCTTGCGAAAAAAAGTTCGACTTTTCTCTCATCCGTTTCAGTCAAATAAACCGATTCAAATCGGAGGGGTAATCGTAAGTGACGCGCAACTATTGGACGTGACGTCAATTTTTTTTTATCACACACACTGTTATTGCAACTATTTTTAACCGCTGAATTGACACGAGTAAGACATTGTGCCGCTTTCACGTGATTTTCACACGATTGTGGAATGATCCGGAAATGTTTCTTACTTTTTTCTTTTTTTTTTTTTTTTCAAACCGTGTTATTTTACAAGAGAAGAGAGATTATTGTTCGTGCCTTCGAATATTAAACAACGACAGATTCGAAACCTCTGGTAACATGACCGTGTAAAATAACTTGCGGTTGGCGTTGGTATCTGTAATTTTAGAAAAATTTTTTTGGCCATGCCTTGAAGCATCTCTAAAACCCTGATGCCCTCGCACATAACTCTTATTATTCAAAAAGTGAATCTTTGGCGTGCAGGAAGCCTAAAAGGCCACTAGCTTCCAAAGAGCATGACATCCATAAAAAAAAAATTAGAAAGTTAAATTTTCATTTAAAGAAATGCAAAGAACTCACTGCCAATAACTCATTTTCGAATTTTGAGCCCCCTAGAAAATCAAATTGCTCACGTTTATAGGGTTTACAAATAGCGAAGAGCAAATAACTAATGGTACGAGAAGAGTACAAATGTGGATTGTATCTGTAATAAATGTTATCTTCGAAACTATGCACCTACGTATTTACAGACGCATTCTCTCATACATGTACATAATAAACGCGTCAGTATCTAATCCAGGTCGATTACGTTTCTGATATTACTGAAAGAAAGGATTAAATGGGTCAACATGTTATACGCTTGACGACGAAACGTGCCACGAGTTTCACCCGTTGTCTCGTTCCTAATTTTTCGAAGTTTCACGGTGAATCGGAATAACTGTCGCGCGTCATCGACTTTCACCTAACGTACAGATTTTTGACGATCGTTTCCTCAGGTGGCGCTCAATATTCGGGAAACCGCGGAAAACTAAATTATGGAAAAGCTATTTAAATGGCGTGAATGGTATTTGATTAAATAATAAACCTCCACGTAAACGAAACTTCATTCACAAGTGAAACTTAATTCAGAGTGAACTTAAATAACGTTCCTCTAAAGGAAATATTATTTTAACCTCGTGTGTCAAGAATTTTTTTGTTCCAAAATTGTAATATCTTCTCAGTTCTAAGTATATTTAAGTAAAACAAAATAAGCAAAACAAATAATAAATCTATTACCTCTCAATCATTTCTATCCAGTGATATCATACCGACCAAGTTCAAAAAGTAAGCGACGAATTGTTGTATACGGGTTTGGTCGCTCGTTATGGTCCGCAATCAGTTGCCAGTATAATTGGTTAACCTCTTGCCCTGAAATGACGTGCAACGTCGAGAATTTTTTTGTCCCAAAATTGTAATATTTTCTCAGTTTTAAGTATATTTAAATAAAACAAAATAGGCAAAACAAATGATAAATTTATTACCTCTCAATAATTTCTATCCAGTGATATCATACCGATGAATTCAAAAGGAAGACGAATTATTGTATACGGTTTGGTCACTCGTTATGGTCCGCAATTAGTTGCCAGCTCAAGTGGTTAACCTCTTGCGCTGGAATGACGTGCCACGCACGTCGAGAATATTTTGTCCCAAAATTGCAATATTTCCTCGGTTTTAAGTATATTTAAGTATAACCCAGGCAAAACAAATAATAAATTTATTACCTCTCAATCATTTCTATCCAGCGATATCATACCGACGAAGTTTAAAAGGAAAGCGACGAATTGTTGTATACGGGTTTGGTCGCTCGTTATGGTCCGCAATCAGCTGCCAGCGCAAGCGGTTAATTATGCTGTAACGGAAATAATTATTATAATTAAAGTAAGATCATTTAAGAAAGACAAGTTCACGAGCGAGAAGATAGTTGAATTTCCATCTATGTAGATAAACTTTTTCATTTATGTCAGACATTCAATCAAAGACGCTCTTGACTACTACATACTAACCACAAGGAATTTGATCTATTAATCCAATAGTTTCATCTATCCGAATATGTAAAGACTCGAAATTAAATAAAGACAATCGAAAATAATATCTATTGAAAAGAGACAAATCTCTTTTATTGAATAAACTTTAATAATGACAATTTGATTCATCGAAAGGCATTCGTTACGCGCTGTTGGATGATTCATAAATCTTACTAGCCAATCCTAAATCCTTGAATGAACGAGAGAAAAATGCATAGCTGTGATATTATACGATCTCAAAGATCGCGTGGAACTTCAGCGAGAACACCATTTCTTACTTTCCTCGTGGATGTTTATTTTGGTTCGTCTTACCAAACGCTATGAAGGCGATCATTGTTCATTTTACTGTGGGACAGTAAAAGTAGTCATTTATTTAAATTAGGAGAGTGGTAGAAAATACAGAAAGAAAAATTTAAAGTAGCCCAGATTTTGAAAAATCATGATTTTGTGAAATTACAAATCTAACGGTATACCAAACAAAGAAATTCAACGATAATTATCTCTCTTTTTATCTGTTCGCAATCTTGTCACTATAAGAAACATCATTCGATAAAAAGTTTAATTTCCTTGATCATATTATCATTCTTTATGGATGCTTCAATAGAAGTTATAATTAGAAAAATGCATTTGCTCAATACGTACGATGATTTTGAAACATAATTCTAATGTGAAAATCTCGGCCCAAATGATGGCCATATTTATGGCTTTAGTTCCAACATGTGTATATACTTATATATATATAATCTATATATGTATAGAATATATAGATATACATAACTGCGCCAACGAGAATCGGACGTCGACACGAGGTGGAGGGGAGAGCGTCGAGACGATAAAACTACATGTAACTCTCTCCGCTGCTCAGTATGCATTGAGAAAGCCAGAAGTACTGTATAATCGTTGCGTTTATTTCTATTTATTTCGCACGAAAGACGAGAGAGCGTCTATTAAATCATCAACAAGTATTCCGTTCCGCCAATCAAGATCGGCGTTTTAACCTCCTTTATAGGGTAGTTTAGTCTCCACGGCGCACGCGCAACGTCGACGACAATTTTCTCGAATCTTACGTTTCCAAAGTTATGAAATTCGTCGCCAAGAAGTCGCTCACACTCGCTGAAGATACAAATCGAGTTTTAACCAGCATTCGGTAAGAAAGTACTTCGTAAGAAAGTGACGAGTTAAAATTCAAAATTTTCGGTGTTGATTGTTGTACATACCACGTGAAGTAGCTTGCCCAGTACTATATATCGTGTGAAAGAAGCGTTCGTACGCGATAGAAGCATCTACATATACGCTAATAGTCGCTTCAAGAGCTTCAAGAAGACAATAAAGAAAGAGAGAGAGAGAGAGAGAGAGAGAGAGAGAGAGAGAGAGAGAGAGAGAGAAAAGAAACTCCTCGAGTGTATAGAAAATTAATTTGTTAAAACTGAACCACGCCTGAAGTTGTAACTGGCAAACTCTGGCAAGCGTCGGTTGAGGTTAGGTCGTCTCTAAATGATCATCGCGCGATCCGAAGTGCGTCGTGTCCCGTCCGTGCGTAGCGAGTGACGATTTTATTTGTATACACGGTGCGTGCGTGTTCCGGAGGAGTGCCAGCTCGAAGAAAAGGAATAATGTCAAGCAGTGTTTGCCACGCGCCCCTGCCAGCACGAATGGAAGCATTCACCACGAGACTTTGTCTACGTGCTGCTGACCAATATGAGCGGCTACTGCAAGCTCACTTCAACAAGGTACGTCTCTCTGGCAAAACTTTGCTCGCAACTTGCATGCATATTCCGGACTCGTTATACTCACCTACGAGTACCTACTTCGATCGGTGCGAGAAACTTCGACGGGGTAATAAACTGTAGGCATGAGGTTTCTCGTAGTAAGCACTTTGCGGTATGTATAGTGCTTTTTCGAATGCCTACGACCGATAGAAAGTGCATGAAAATCCAATTAACGATCTGATTGCGGATTCTTTTTTTTTTTTATCAAAGTACGTGAATCTGTGATATGTATGCGCATATAAACAAGTTTTTTTTTTTTTTGTTCTTAAAGATGTGAATTATTTGAATATTCGAAAATAAATGTTTTTTCAGTTTTTTACGTTCTTGGAAATCTGAATTGTTTGAATTATTATTTTTCATGTTCTCAGGAATCTGAATTATTCGCAAATATTATTCGAGTATAACGTTTATTTTTTTTTTTTTTTTTTTTTTTTAGTCAATGATTAACAGTTGTGCAGAAATTTATTTTCGCGAAACCAGAAACGTGATAATACGTGCATCTTGAAAGTTGTTTCAATATTTGGAACAAACGAAAAACCTGTTTGCTTTTCCTGCCCGTTTCGAGCAGAGATCGTTGACTCGTTGCGCGAGTACGATACAATTTGAACGAAGTAATCGTACGCGAAGATTGTCCTCCTTGATGAAACGTTGATCCGTATTCGCATGTGACTCCGTTAACGGTAACATTGTTCTGTTTCTCAATTCGCCGTTATATCTCCTTTCACGGCATTTATTCCCACGCTCTATTCGAAATTCATTTCAAACTTTTTCCCAATTTATAATAATTTCAATGATTGATATCGGTCGATGGTAAAACAGTTAAATTTTTTTCTGCTCCAAAGACGAGAAAAATGTTTTTCTAAAAACAATTTGAATCTTCGACGATTGCTTTTTTTTCCGAGTTTGGAACGTGTTATAATTTATACATGCTTTGTTATCAAATTATCGTCGTCTATCCCGATATATACCCTGTGTTCACAGGTCGACAGATTTACAAGTGATTTATTTCACTTTCGTTATCATTGCAAAGCACGTATCATATCTTTGTCAATTCGAAATATTTTTACATTGTTTTGAACGAATATTGTGCAATATTATCAACAGTCGCGGACTGCAAATGAAAATTAAACGTATCGAAAAATATCAGTCGAGCACAAGTTCTTTTTCGAAGAAGAAAAATGTTGTAAATTGAATTTTGATCAGATGTTTCCAATGCGAGTTTTGATCGTGAAACGAGGTGCGCGCAGTGCACCTGTTAATCGCACGTCTACGTAAATAAGCTGCGCCCCTCTGCCGAGAGTAAAATTAGGCTCTGCAAACCGGTCTTGTATTTTTAGTACGTTTTGCTTTTTCGTGCACGTCGCAGACCCCCCGTTACCGCCTATTGTGTCCGCTCGATATCGATTAACTCGGCGCGGGACGATTTCTCGAAGGCGGATCCGAATCGCGCGCGAACTTTCGAAATTTCGAACGCAAAGCGCCGACCTTCGCCGAAGGTGAAGATGATGAATAAATTCAAGGCGGTGCTCGACGACAAAAACTCAAGGATCGCTTTATATATCTAGAACGTGTTAAATTAACTCCGTGCGATTTATTTAACGACCGCGGTTGAAAAATAAAAAAGGGGACGGAGGGCTCGTAAATTCATGTTGAAATAAAGTTCAAAGTTCCAACGCAAGACTCGCTGCAGTATTAAATGTGTCAATAAATCAAACAAAAAAAAAAGAGAGAGAGGGAGAGAGAAATTAAATTAAATTAAATTAACCTCTTGCGCCGGAATGACGTGCCACGCACGTCGAGAATTTTTTTGTCCCAAAATTGCAATATTTCCTCTGTTTTAAGGATATTTAAGTATAAGCAGAACAAATAATAAATTTGTTACTTCTCAATAATTTCTATCCAGTGATATACCGACGAATTCAAAAAGAAAGCGGCGAATTATTACGGTCTGGTCACTCGTTATGGTCCGCAATCGGTTGCCAAGTGGTTAAAAAAGAAATTACATTCAGCATTCCTTTCTAGCGCTAGAACTGGATATATCCGGAAAATCGATTTAAAATTGCTATTGTGACGTTGAAACGATGAGTCACATTTTTGAATACACAATTACCTAATTTACGTATCTATAGTCTAATTCCGAAAGATCCGTTACACTTACGAAATTCTTCGTTCTGATAATTGTATCAGAACGTTGTGCATATAATGTTGTTTATAAAGTAAGGAAAAATGCAGCAAGGAATGCAACGATACTGCACATTGTGAATATGAAGAAACACTTTGTATATCGAGGAACATAAATGTTGTTCGATAAGCGTGACTCCTTTCAAAAGACTTTGTGCATATTTTCTGATTATAAATTTGCTCTTGCTGGTTGCTGGCTGGTCGACATTGAATCATAAGTTTTTATAAAATATGGCATGAATGTGATATCTATCTATATATACAAAATTATTTAATTATGTACATACAGGATTATTCAAATTAAATAAAAAAACAGAAGCGAGCAAAATTAAATCACCTTCGATTTGCATGCATACCTATTAATTTCGTACGACTTTTTTTTCTCTCGATGCGTGTAAAAAGCGCTTGTTATTACTTCCAATTCAGTCATTAATCGTAGTGTCTGCCGTTTTTAAATCAGAGAAGAGAACGAGTAACTACATATTACACCGCGCGCTTTGAAAGTAAAATTATCACCCCTTCTCTCCCTAACAGCTTCGAAGATGAATCGAACTCGAGGATCTCCTTTGAATGCAACATTTTGTCTAATTGTCGAAGCGTTTGGTTTTTACCAACCATATATTTACCAGCGTAATGATCGTTAATTCGTTTTCAATCAGTGTAATTTCCCATTGATGGCGCGATACTTAACGATAGTAAAAAAAAAAAAAAAAAAAAAAAAAAAAAAAAAACACTTCTAGAAGATTATCATAATGTTCATAAAGATGCTGTTTTCGGAATCGAAAACATCCAGTGAAAATTTCAACATCAGTCCACGACGAGTTCCTCCAGTTCATTCTTGACTCGTTTGTTCCTCTTTCTCCCCGTTTTCGTGTTAAATCGCGGCAACTTTCGCGGAATGGAACATGAAACGAGTCGCGTGGAAATCAAGGTGCATGCTCTTGCTACGTAACAGACGACGTCAATCAAGTAGAATGTAGTAATTTTAATAACCACGTGGGTACCACGTCCGTTTAAATGTTCTCCGCGTGTTATTACAACGAATACATGTACACGGTGAGCAAAAAGTTTCTTCCCACTTTTTTTCTTTTTTAATAAAACGTAAAAATATAAGGAAAAGCTAATTTTATCAATTTTAAATGAAAAAGTCAAGTTCGAGCATGATTCGTTTCATTACGTTTCGAAAATTATCCCCTTCAAACGATTTTGGCCCACCCTGTACATACAACGAATTGTACATACAACAAACTTCCAAATTCCAAGTTTATCTTTTATCTTTGGTTATTAATCGACCGGTTATTAATCACGACGTTTCCTCGCCTTCAGCGATAAAGTAACATCAATCTGGTTGCATTTTTGTACACGATGAACGCATTAATGGCTTACTGTATCGATCATGTAAATATGATATCGTTTTTTTAATCGTCTGGTAATTCATTTTTTACAAGGATTGCAAGCACCAACGATTTCTGGAACTACTAAAAGCAGACTATTAACCTCTGCCACGCACGTCGAGAATTTTTTATCCCAAAATTGCAATATTCCCTCGGTTCTAAGTATAACTCAGGCAGAACAAATAATAAATTTATTACTTCTCAATAATTTCTATCCTATCTAGTGATATCACACCGACGAGTCAAAAAGAAAGCGACGAGTTATTGAATACGGTTTGGTCACTCGTTATGGTCCGCAATGGTCCGTTAACCTCTTGATTTAGTATTTAGTAAAATAGTAATGTTTTTTATAATATTTAGAATTTTTATGTAGTTTTATATTTATATATTTAGTATTTTAATATTTAGTATTTTAGTTTTTTTATAATATTTAATACTTTTTAAATATTTTATATTCACAATATTTTATCGTTTTATATTTATACATTTAGTATTTTAATATTTAGTATTTTAGTTTTTTTATAATATTTAGTATTTTTTAAATATTTTATATTCACAATATTTTATCGTTTTATATTTATACATTTAGTATTTTAGTTTTTTTATAATATTTAGTATTTTTTAAATATTTTATATTTTACAAGATTTTATTTGTTATAATATTCTGGACAAGGTTTGGGTTAGTTTCTCCGGCGCGAAATTTGAATTTTTATTTAAAGATCGTCCTTAAATCACAAAGAAAAATTGATTGCCCTTAACTCTTCGTTAATCCTCACATCATAATTAAGTTAACGATATTTTAACATCGAATTTGCTCATCAAATGTATTACACATGTAATTTTTTTTTAATCTTTCAGCTCATATCGGTTTTGACGAAAGTTATGCAATTAAGTAAGATTAATTAAGCTCTTAATTCTCTATTCTCGGCTTTCAACTTCTTCTGTTTTATTTTATCTGATTACGTTTTGCATCGATCGCAGTCACAATTTGATGGTTTGAACGATAGAACTCAAAGAAGAAGTCAACGCACGTACTGTAAATTTATATTTATTTGATATCTATAGTTAAAGTTGAGCATTTATTTGATATCTATAGTTAAAGCAAGTGACACTTTGTGTAACAATAATCCACAACGAATGAAGAAAAATTGACGAGTAATTGAATAAACAGCGAATTGACGTAATCTCATTGATAGCTTATTGTTTCCACTCGATCACGTAACACAATAATATTTAATCAACGCAATTACAATTTCACGTTGCAGCAAGCAAAAATTCGAGAAAGAAAAACGTCTATTCGCACGTCAGCGTGAAGCGCGATTCAATTTATCACCAGACACGTTACACCGAGAGTATTTACGTATCGTGATTATCGTAAAATCTCGA